CACACACTATGAAAGCGGAAAACAAGAAGAAGTAATTTCATTCGGAAACCAAAAATGTGCCATTGTGTGACACTACAAAATAACAGCCAATCAAAACAGTTCTCTCATGCAAAAATGACAGATGCAGAATGTGTAGAAAACTTTACGGATTGGTTTTTAGTTTTGCATTGGTTTCTAACAAAAGTAGGTTTATTAAATGTATGAAGTCATAGTGTTTTGGTGGGAAGTTAATGTATGGTTTGATCATGTCAAGTTGGTTTGTAAAAAATGTTGATGTTTAATCTTTCAAAACAAACACTTTTTTTTTGTCTCCCTTAGTATATTTCCTACATTATTTTGTAATGTGTGTAACAATTTTTTTTCTCCAAATTTGCAGAGGGAAAAAATGGTTACATTTAATAAAAGTTAAATATATAAAGTATACTTAAATATAATATTGTATTATAAATATTATCAATATATTATTATATTTATGATGTATTATATATTTTTTATTATATATTACCAATATATTATCTATAAATATACAGGTTCAGAATATTTTGAACGCACACGCGCACACACACACACGCACACACACACACACACACACACACACACACACACACACACACACACACACACACACACACACACACACACACACACACACAAAAACATAATATTCTCTTGATTAACATTGAAAAATATATAAAAAGATTTTTAGCAATCATAAAATGACATTGAGAAACATGAAATTTGATCATTTTTGTGATGGCGCCAGTTAGAAAAAAAATCTTTACTGTTGAGCTCTGTAATGTCTGATGTTTCTTAACTACATGATCAGTATTTTCATGTCTGTTTAATATTCATGAGGAGTGTGATTTTGGACCAATGAGGTTTGGCTGTGGGCGGGGTTACCAGTCAAGAGGCTACAGGAAAATACACAAAGCAGAAAACAAAAGGTTTTGGTCAAAAAGGAGTTTTGCAGTGACAATTTTGGCGACACAATGAATCTAAGCTTGACTTTGACTATGCAAATGAACACAATGCCATGTTGTGTTCATTCTCAAAGCTGGAAATCTTACAAAAGGACACAATTATTTAAGTAACCAAATTAAGTTTAATTAGGCTTGCCCCATCACATTTGGAAATGATTCACAGCACGGCATCTTTATCCTGCACATTGTCACTGAAGCTGTTGCTAAGCTGGAGTTTGACGTCTTTGTTTGAGTAGTTTACAATGTCTGAGTGCTGCTTCCATTCACTGTCATTTGGCTCTGTCTCTGTTGCCTCACTTACTGAATGAACTCTCCACCGGTTCCCACATTGTGTGACGGGTCACTTGCCAAACTGTAAGCAGTCCTGGAGCAGAAATAGCAGGACCAGTTCAGTCTGGCCCAACAGTTTGAGATGGGTCCAGCCGAAACACACATCTCATGCTGAGATTCTGCATGAAGGTCAGGTCAGCCATAAACGCCCCACCAGCACCATATACAAGTCTGTTTCTATAGGTGGGACAGGCGGGACATACAAAGACCCCTGAAGGAGAGACAAAAGTGATCAGTTTTGTTCATTGAAATAAAGCATATATAAATATAGATGAAAAACATTAAATGAAAATGAAATTAAATAAGTTTAAGCTAAAGCACTAACATTTTTTTTTTAACTGGGAATAAATTAAAAGCTAAAACTGAACTAAAACTAGATCTGGAAAAAAATAGTAATATTTAAAAAAATAATGACAAAATCACATAAAATGCTAAAAATGCAACTGATATTAAAATGAAAACTGAAATACTAAAGTAATGCTGAGCTGTACTTTTAAGGACAAATATTGCCTAAAAATGTCTAATTTAATAAAAAAATTCGAACTAAATAAATCACATCAAACAATGCCAAAAGTTTGTGTTAAAGTTTTACTAAAGTGTAATTTAACAAAAAATCAAGGCAAAAGAAAACAAAAGCATCTTTGTCAAGAATAGAAATAGGATTTACATTTCTGCGTGATGAAGTCATGCTGGTTCTGAAGCAGACGAATGAACATGTTCTGATGCTGTGTAGATAAGGCTGCGATGCATAACATTAATGAAAAACAATATCATATCACTACTTTCTCCAGGAAACTGCTGTAAATGGTTCTAACTTCATAATATCTACGGATGGTTTTATTAGGATTTTTGACTAAATATATAGATGACATAGAATAGCATAATGAGTCTATGTCATCAGCTCTGTGCCGCATGTCTATATGTGTTTGTCTGTAAATGCATTTATGATTTTATGCAAATACCCAGTGTCTGTATGTAGGGTTAACCAGGGTCACAAAGCCCCTATTAGTCTGTTTAATGGAGATATGTACATCTCAGTTTTCAGTGAGATACTGTATGCCATTTACAGCTGTGAAACATAGAATAACTATTTTTGATGTGTAAAGATACAGATATAATCAGACACTAAATGCATTTTAAGTGATTAATATATGAGTTATTCTCAGTGGCATTTGTGTCATTATGACTTAATTGACTTTTTTTTTCACAACATGGTTCAACAACATGGTGAATTTCTCTTACATTATCAATATTTTATTTTGTTGACACCTGTATTGGCCTCATCACACTGTTTGGAATGCAATAAGTCTGATTTTTTAAATGATCTGTGGCAAAAAATGCACAATTTCAGGGAGTTCGCTGAGAACAACCCACAAGAATCGCTTGGTATTTGTGTGGCAGGCTTTGGCGTATGGTGAGAAAGATCTGTGTTGTTATAACTGGCATTTGTCATAAATCAGCATTGAATCCTTTCGTTGTGTTATTATAACTGGCATTCGTCATAAATCAGCATTGAAGCCTTTCATTGACCCATGTCTGAGCCCAATATAACTGGGTTTTACCCACCAGGCTATCCAGCAAACATTCTCAGCAAGGGCATGAGGTGTCAGTGATCCCATGAATTCACGGTTATATGCATCAAATCAACTGACATTGGCACAACTTGAAGAGGAACACGAAATACAAATAATTAAATCCAGCATCCATTTACAACCCTTGTTCGGGCTGGAGACCAAACAAGATGGTAATTTATTCCACATGTTGCTGGTATCAAGCTTGAAATGCAGTGTTTTATGATGATTGAGCCTTTCAACATACGTCTTGAAACTTCAAATATTTGATATCCTTAACCGTTAGCCATACAAATAGACAACAGCCTAATTTTCACCAGAACAACTGGTAAGGCTTTACAAAGATAAACTATGATTGAAAAAGGAGCCAATAGATCTGCAGCTCAGAGGTCAATGATTCATGACTCATTACAAATCTTCTCAGAGTTGTTTATGTGTAGTAATTTGAAATGTGAATCACTTTATTGCTGATATTTACGTGCATGTTAGCATCTCTTTATGCGAGTACTTTGGATATCTACACGGTAAGAGCTTTGTTTATTTACTAGCTAATACAATGCAGATATATTTAAAGGAGTCAGTTATTGGCTTAATGTGTAAAATCATGTTGTGTTGTGTGAGCGATAAGTTCAACATCACCTGTACGTCAGCTCTCCAACATGAACTCTGACGCGGTAAAATCTTTATGGGTAAAATCATCATTGAAAAACAGACGCACGACGGGAAATGTTCTCATTTTCTAAAAGTTTAGGCTACGTTTACTTGCCAGTTTGTATCCACCTTATAAATTTAGCAATTAGAATTTATTGTTTTTGACAGAGCTGTATGTCCAAGCGAAACTTCAGAACTGCAGTTTGTTTCGCTTTTTATTTTATATTTAATGTTTGTAAGGCTCAGATACATCATGTTTTATTTATATATAAGTGCCTCTACATTTTATGTGTTTATACTTTGTACTATATTACCTTGACGTTAATGATATTTAATTAAAAATAGTTTGCACGTCAGAAGCGTCATGATTTGAGCGTCAACACTGACATCTAGTGGTTGATGTGAGCACTGCACGAGCATGAAGTCCTAGCATTCATGGGTGATTCTTTAAGTTAACAAAGGTTACTTTTTTGTTTTTGTCACACTTACTTCACCCTAAGGGGAACTTATAAAAAATGTATCAAGGCTCAATCATTCTTTTTATTATATAATATGAGCCCTTTTATGCATGATTTTTACTGTTTTCCCCCTGTCCCTAAGCCAGACTTTGTACCTTCAACCTCGCTTAATTCTAAATTAAATATTTAAATAATGTAGATTTTAAGTACAAATTATAAAATAATGTCTATTTCAATTATACATATTATATATTGCAATATGTATTCACACTTTCCTATATTTTTCATAAGTAGAACCCTTGTCCCTTGGGTTCACTGTCATTTCCACCACACAGTACAAAATAGAATCCTGGGTTCATTGTTTTAGATTTGTATACTTAGTAACCATAGCAATAGAAACTCCACAGTGAACACATGGCTGGGTGAAAGGCCAGGGTGACCTCTTTAGGGGGTAATGAAAAGAAGAAAAATCAAGGTAAATATGACTAAAACTGAGAGTATGTTTATTGGCCGTCATTTCCAAACGGCTCATATTTCATATGGACGTAAAAATAACTGGATAGATTTAATTTAATAATGTGTATATTTAATGCTAACTCTAAAACTAATATATAATATGTATACGGTAATGCAAACGCTGTAGGCCTACATACGCCTATGTATCATCTGTCCAAAGCCAATATTACCAGAGAACATATAAAGCTACAGCCTATTTATTAGGCACAAAACATTATTTATGTGTGAAGACACTGAAAATGTATTTAATTTGCACTATGATTTAATGAGCCGTGTCTTGTGGCCAAATTCTGTGTATATTTGTCTGAGGAATGTCCTTTAGGAAATGCGGAACCGATATTTGTTTATCTTGTAAATAGAATGTCCAGTGGGATTGTCTAATAATAGAAACCATAACTATTCCAGAAAAGAAATTTTAAGGCAAATCACGAATATGCGGTGCATTGTAAACAATGTGGGAAACGTGTGAGCATCATGGGATTATTTCCCAGCATTCTCATGTCGAGTGCCAGAGTTAATTGCGTACTTTTGTTTGTAGAGTCCCAGATGAAATGAAGCATGAACGCTAATGAATGCAGGCTTTGTGTTTATTATCTGTTCACACTGCAACAGGCCCCGCTAAAGGAGATGCATACGTTATGAAAATTTTCCCTTTTATTTTGCGCAACCACGTGTTTCCAAATTAATTTTGTCCTCTGAATTCTTTGAATTGTGCACAAAATAACTTTCAATGTTTTGCTCTGGGTTTCTGGGATGTGACCTGGATCTTTAAGGACCCCAAACTGGTTGAATGAATTTAGGGGGCCACTGTGGGGTGATGAGGTTGTGCTGTTTCCATGGAACCAAATCCACTTGAGTCACATGGCTTCATACTAATGAATATTCTGAACACCTCTTTCCAGACCAAACAGTTTGTTGGTCACTTTTGGCTTATGCTATCAGCAACATGAGCCTAACGGGGATCGCTCTGTCTCTTAACGGGACAGCCTCATTGGAACCAGACGAGACAGAAACACAAGCCACTCTCTATGGTGAGTTTGAACTCATATGTAGTTTTATCAAAAATGTGCTTTAGCTTTCGGTCTCAAAATATGTCCTAAATGTTCCTTAAAAGTCCTTTTTTCCATGAAAACAATCGTCTCTCTTTCCTCACACAGAAGTCAAAGTGTTCAACATCATGCTTTCTTCAATAGCTCTGTGCATCCTGACAGTGACAGGAATCATCACCTGTATCTCATATCAAAGACACAGACGGTGAGTAAACAGACATGAGAAATAGGCCAAAAAAATATTTGGACACTTAAGCCACACTTAAGAAATAATGTTTGTAATGTCCTTGCATTAAATAAAATCTCAGAATTTGGCAGAACAATTGGCAGGGAAAATATGCCTTGGAAAATATATCTTTCATATAAAAATTGAAAATAGTGTTTTTGTGCATTTTTCATAACAATAAACGTAAAATTCTATAGCTTTTTTTTTTTTTTTTACTTCAGCAGTTATCTGCCACCTGTCGTCTTTAAAAAACCAAAACAAACGTAAGTCTGCACAAAAGCATTCAAGATTTATGACAGTTTAAGTTGGAAATTTCATTTTCAGGTCTATATAATAAATGTATAAATAAATACTATATACTTATAACTACTGCATAAATATATTTTAGTACCATAAAATTCCCTAAAAATACAAAATATTTAATAAAAAACATTATCAAACTAAAATATAGTACATTATGGCAACTTCATTGAAATTAAAAATATATATAACTAAAAGTTTGTACTTTTCCAACACACACATTTTGCAAAGCATCAAAATATTGCTTTTCTTCGCACTTTGTGTTGACTTGCAAAACTTTTATGGAAATATGACAAAGTTATATAATAAATATAATTTATTTAAATGCTTTTAAGTTTATTTGCAGAAGTACTGTGTTTCCCAGAGAAACATTTTTCATTATTTCCATCAAAAAAGTTTTGCGATTGACAAAATTTCACAAGGGATGCAAATTAATTGAAATATGATTTATATCGCAAAGTATTTGCCTTCTCTCGCAAAAGTATTGCATTTCCCATGCAGAGAAACTTTGCATTTGCTCGCAAAAAAACACTGAAATGTAGTTTTTCTGAAATTGAGTTTTTCCTTATTTCCATCACTAAAGTTGCCTATGAGCTTGCAAAAATGTTGCTTTCACGTGCAAAAGAACTGAAATATAGTTTTTCCCTCCTGGACACAAACATTTTTGTGAGCAAATCCATAGTTTCCAAAGCAATTTTCAACGCTTCCGAAGCAAGAGAGCTCAAAAGCACTTAAATGAGTTTTTTCCCCTTCATCATCAAGGGTTCCATATTGCTGGTCAATATCTTCTTATTGGATCTTAAATTGTGTCTAAAAGCTGTCATGGTACATATTTTTGTGTCACAGGAAGCATAAGAGGGCACGCATCTATGAGAGCGCCGTGTCCCGCGAGGTTCCCCAAGAGCCCGTGGGTGTTACTTGTGTGAAGAAAACCCATAGTTTCCGTAACCCGCTCGGCCTCTTCAGACGACAGGAGGGGCCGAAGGACAACTCACGGATCCACTACATCTACACCAACCCTCTGCCGGTGGGACACGAGGAGGACCGGATCCCCCCTCACACTCCACTCACGCTGCAGGACTACGCCAGCGACCCCAAGAGCGGCATCACCCTGGTCCCGCCTATTTTTTACATGCAGCTGTAGATAGTCCTGGAAAGTTAGCATTTACCGTCATGTCATCCAACACCCATATCATGTACTTTCTTACGTGGAACACAAAAAGAGACGTTTAGCAGAATGTTCACGCTGCTCTTTTTCCTACTATGAAAGTGAATGGTGACTTCTGCGCTATATTCTAGCTTAATTACATCTGTCCCTCACACAAAGTTAGAGTATGGATTAGATATGGTAAATATATGCTTTTAGGCAGACAAAAAGAAGCTCGGATGTTTATCAAAATGTATAATTTTGGATTTCAGAGAAAGTCATACAGGTATGGAAGAACATGAAGTTGAGTAAATCATTTTTTGGATGAATTATTCCTCTGGATGAGCAAAAGTAAAAGGCAGTGTCTTTTTCCACACAGTTTTTAATTAGCGCATAAAACAGCTGAAAGTGTGCTTTACAAAAGATGCAGAAAGTGAAATAGATCCACCAGAAAAGCAGATAGAGGCGAAGACTGAAAGAGAACGAAAAAAAATAAAAATAATAATCACTGGCGATCGTTACAACGATGACCCAAAAAAACCTGTAAACAACATTTTTAGACAATCGGCTGAGTTTCCCTGATCAGCCAATCCAGAGCCTCCTTCCTGCCTTGCCGCTCCATCTCTGCTCCAATCGTCTCCAGGCATTTCCTGTGGTAGTCGTTCACCCAATCACGCTGCAGGATGACAAGTATGTATTATTACAGCAATCCATGCTTTAACAAAAACATTTTCATAGAGGTTTAAAGGATTCATGCACTCAAATGTTGTGAATTATCACAAGATAGCTTTCTCAAGCATAAGGCCTGAACGTATACTTAGGTTTTTACAAGTTTTTATGTTAGGGTATGCATACTGTATGCGAAATAGCGCAGACACTGGACAAGAATTAAACTTTCTGATGCGCTCTAATAATGTGTCGGGCATGTTATCAAATGGCGTACGCATCAAAACTGAAGTACGCTTAAGGCATCTCTAATCATTTTCTTTTCAGTTGTTATTATTAGACTTTATTTTTTAAATAAACACTTATAAAAATGTTTGCAAGACTTTTTCATAGTTATCGTACAAACTGCCTTGTTGCTAAAACACAACAAACTGTTAGCATGCTAATTAAAGCACCACCACTAATAAAATTTCAAAAATTAACTATATTAATGTAGAAAAAAAAAACATTACATAAAGTGGTCGGCCATTGCAACCCAACTGTAGTATCGGTCTGCTCTTACCTCTTTCTGTGTGAGCATGTCTGTGTTGATCATCTTCAGCTGGATGGGGACCAGCGTGAGGGGTTCAAAGGTCAGACTGCCTCTGTTCCTGTAGTTATACTGAAAAAAAATGATGTTGAAAGCTGAAATAAAAGCTCTCAAACGTGCATTAAATAATTTTTGGTTTAGTTTGTTATGTCTTGGACTCGATACTGACACCTATTGGTATGAAGGACTGAAAAAAGGAAGTTAAAAGCTGAAATGTCATTTTTCAGACCTCTCAAAAGTGAATTAAATCATTTTTGGTTTAATTTGTGCTGTTACGTCTTAGACTCAATACTGACACCTATTGGTGTGGAGGAAGCATCACATAAATGTGTCCAAATATTTGGACAAAAATGTACCTTGTGCACCTTTGAAATGAGCTGTATCAGAAAATGTATGTTTTTTCTCAGCATAAATATGAACTGATTAAGGAGTGGTTTGATGCAGTAGTTACTCTGGTTTTTGCGGGAACGACCAGGACAACGTTTTCCAGCCGAATGCCAAACGAGCCATCTTCATAGTACCCGGGCTCTGGAATAAAACATGCACAAGACTCAAATATATTGAACCAACTTTACCATAAACTTTAACAACATCTGAGGCAGAGTTGCAATAATGTTGCCTTATAATAGTATTACAGAAATAGGTTAAAATTAAGTAAGTGTGTTTCTGTACCATCGCTGACAATCATTCCGGCCTCCAGAGGTTCGTCTGCAAAGGTTTTATAGCTGATGCCACACGGACCCTCGTGCACGTTAAGGAAACATCCGACGCCGTGGCCGGTACCATGAAGATAGTCCAACCCAGAGTCCCAGAGAGCAGCACGAGCAAACGAGTCCAACAGGTGACCTGTAGAAGAGAGCACAGTCCACGTCTCGTAACCTCACTCGACACAGCATTAGAGCACTTCAAACTGCTCCAAAACAAGCCAAACCTCAAGTTTCGGATTCTAAGGACGCACCTTTTGTACCATTGGGAAAAACCGCAGCACTGACGGCGATGTGTCCCTTTAGGACGTATGTAAAGCATTCCTGTGGAGATCACATTTTTGGTACTGATTCTTTTCAGACTATTAAGTAAGGAAAGAGTTTGGTCTTGAAGGAAATTAAAAAACATGTTTTACCTTCTCATAATCAGATGGAGTCCCAAAATGCACCGTACGAGTCACATCTGTAGTTCCATCTCTGGATTTCAAAGATAAAAATGTTCATTTTATCTTTTTATATAATATAACAAATTTCTAAATAAATAAAAAATAAATGAAGCACTAATTGTTCTGCAGTGTTTGTGTACTTACCTGTACTGAGCGCCGGAGTCAATAAGATAAACTTCATTAAGAGAAAGAGTTCTGTTGGTTTCTGGGAGAGGCCTAAACGACAGATCAGAAAGAGACAGTTAAAAAAAAAAACCTTTAAATGCATGGTTAAATACTATATTACAACAGCAGCCCACCTGTAATGTATTATGGCCCCATTTGGACCGACACTAGAGATGGTTGGAAAACTCAGCCCAACAAAGTCTTTCTGTTGACTAGATAGACAAAAAAGAAAAGATTTTCAATTGAAAGCAGATTTTCTTGCGGCTTCAGTGTCTGCAGTTCCACAGATCACCAGATGGCGGTGCCACAATCTCACACAAGAGAAAAACAACAAGTAATGCAGCTTTTTAAATGCACTGCCAACGATGGCATCAGTATTATGATACCGTTTTTATTTATAAAATTATAATTAAGTCAATTTGTGTGGAAAAATTAATTGTTTGGTTCTTTTTACAAGTCAAATGCAGCATGTTTGACTCACCTGCGAAATTCTTCTGCTTTATCTGCTGCCGATATCTCTGTGACCGTACCTTTGGGAATCTATATAAATGATAAATACTCTTATATTTTCATTATTCATCATTCAACCTATAAGGAAATTTTACTAGGAAAACATAGAAAGGTCTTCCTGAATAAATTTCCAGCGGATAAAATTACAGAAATTGTACACAACGATACCTCTTTCTCCAGCCAGGCAAAAAGTTTGCACAACGCCACGGCATCTTTGATCTGGGATAAAAAAAAAATATTGTGATTAATTAGGCAAAAAAAGTTGAAGATTTCTGGAATATCACTAGCCACGTGGACTTACATGTGCCATTTTCATGCCCTGGATCTCTGTGGGGTTCTTGACGGCTTTTGCCAGACATAAGGGTGTGTATGGGATTGCAGCTCTGTGGGCCTGGACAATTAAAATTGTACTAAATTTTAATTTGAATTACCACAATAATATTTATTCATATTCAACTACTTTAGATAAAAAATTCAAATATCTAGACTTTCCAAGTTTTGAGCACAGCAACCTGGTCAAATTGCAACCGTAAAATAGGCAAAAAACAGCATTAAAAATATGACATATTTTGTAATATGACAGTGGTTTACTTCCTATCCAAAAATATAGGACATTTGCTGTCAATATAGGGAATGTTTCCTCCAAATAGGCCACTTTTGTATGTGGCGTCCCACAGGGGTCAATTTTGGGACCGCTTTAATTTTCCCTGTATATGCTTCCTTTGAGTTGGATTTTTCGAAAGCATCTTGACTCACCTTAGGTATGACTTGTGTAAGAGCGCAGCTGGCTTTGTCGCAAATCCACATCTTATCTTTGGGCGCCAGCGCCGCACAAACCGCCTGCAGCTCCGTGAACACGGACTCGTACGGAAAGCACTGTACGGTCAGATCCGGTTTGCCGTCCAGTTCCAAATGCTGCCGGACCGCAGTGTCCAACAAACGCTTGGTGTCTACAAACAATCTAACATAACACATGTGGACCAGATGACAGCAATGAACACGGGTCATGTTTTTGAAACCTGGGAAATTTTTAGTATAAAGTGAAGAATCAGGAATGGAAGTTTTACTTTATGCTGCTAATGCCGATGATGGCGTAGGCGAAGAACACGGGGTTGTACTCGATATCTGACCCGCGCAGGTTAAAAAGCCCTGGAGAGAGAAAGTGAGATTTCATGTTTTGAATGTCACATGATCCTTCAGTAATCAATCCAATAATCTCAGAAGTCATTTTTTAGAGGTTTTACTATATTTGTGAAAACATTTCCAGGACTTTCACCCTCCCAAAAGAGCATGTGCCTCACGCAATCAAGTCTATAATTATCAACATCAACACAAGCTAATCTGACTCAAGAGCGGAGAACGAGGGCTGGGTCGTGATCTGACCACTAAAATCACACACACAAACCGTGCTGTACGCTGATACGTACACGCAATCTCATCTAGAGCCGTGACCACAAACCAGGAAATCTTCCTTTCTGCCATTTTTCCTCTCAGAGCTGTAATTTTATCTTGCCAGGTTAGACCTACAAGGGGAAACGACAACAAAAAAATGTCTCAATGTTCAGCAGCACAAACTTTCTGACTGGTTAAGTTCAAATGTATATAGTGTGTAATTATCCTCCATTGAGAAGTGCTGACCGGTGTATTTGAGCCCCAGGGCGATGAGTTTGGTGCTGGGCCGAGCCGGCCGATCCTCCCAGATGGCGTCAATGAGATTTTCCTGCACCGCAACTAAAGAGTGACCCGCACTGCTCAGAGCCCTAGACATGTTCTTCCACTGGTCTGAAAAACACAATCACAGACGGCTGATGCATCACACGACGTTTCACAATGCAACCACAGTAAAAGTAAAGTAAAGTAAAATTAAGTTTGTTTCTTTGTTTGTTTATAGTTTAACACCATGCCGGCTATATTCATGGCGAAAAAGAGATTAGAAATTTAATTTTTTATCTTAGATACAAATTCTAAAACTAGATCTGGCCTTACTTCATTTAAAATCTTTCCATAATAAGAGTCAACTGAAAAATATTCTAACAGTTCAATCTATCACAGTTT